TAAAATTCAGTGAAGAAAGAAGTAGAAAACAGAATCAAGAAAAAGAACAGAGTGATATCCCCTATTCAATAACAATGGGGTTGGTTGGAGAGGGTAGGGTGTGGAATGCATGTCTCAGAGGTTCAGAGAATTACTTGTTGGTGCTGTCAGTGGTCAGTACAGGGCCTGTGTATGGCCGGCCGTAGTATTGCAAGACACTGCTTTTGGAACACACACCTCTCTGAACCAATCGGCCTACTGAAGGTTGATTGAAAGAAAGAAAGATTGAAGAGGGGAAACTAAAGAGAAGGAAGTAGTGGGAGTACCCAAGAATAATTTAATAAATATTAAACTAACAATGACTGAGTAACGGAATAAAACAAGGAAATCTTGTTACCCTTGCAGGAATGGCTGGTATAAGAGGGCTGACTATTGATGACGATGGTGATGATGATAAAGACAGGAGCCTGGAGACACAGCCAAAATACAATTAAGAAAACGAGCAAAGTGATAATAACAAGGTCGGACTGGTTGGTCCCCTTTGTGATAGATTTGAACCCATACGAGTTACTATGAGATAAATTGTGAGATGCAAGGCCTGGGTCTAGCCAGGTTGAAGGTAGCGAAAAATTATCCCAGGGAAAGACAGTACCTTAGACTATTATACTCTTTAGAATTAAAAAACAACTATAATGGAAACCCATTGGAAAGATGAGGAATTACCTGAAAGGAATCAAACTGCTATAAATGAGAGATGAGGGCAGTAGTCCCCATACTTGGAAAAGTGATAAATGTCCTGTTTGGGACATTAACTGAAGATGACGTCAAGGTTATAAGGAGAAGAATAAGGAAGATAGAAAAGGATCAAAGAATCTGAATGTAACAAGGTTAGAACTGGGCAAGAGCCAGTATAAATGAATTAATAAACAACCTGAGGGAGCTAAGACAAAAAATAGCTAATAGTTCAGAGGCTGTGACAGCTAAGCTGCAAGAATTGAGTGGGTTTATACAACAGTATTTTCAGTTGATAACCATTGCTAATAAAGTACAACAGACTAATCAATCCCTGATAATTTTGTTGGAGCATGTGAGGACTCAGTTGGATATGTTGTCTTTGGGACACCTGTCCCCAAGCATAGTAACACCTGGGCATTTGAGGGAATTATTACTAAAGATTCAAACTGAATTACCCCATCATTTGAGATTACTAGTGGACCCCACCAGGGAATTATGGAAATATTACAATGCCCTGGGTTGTGTTACCTTGCTAGAAGACAATAAGCTGCTGGTTCTAATGTCCATTCTGTTGTTAGACAGAGACATCCTTTTTGAAATAGATCAGATTATAAATTTACCTATTCCATACCCCCAGGCCGAGCAGGGCCTAGTGGCAGTGGTAAGATACCAAATTGAGAGAGTTGGCTTTGAATTCAGCTAGAACAAAATTTATGATGCCAACAGCAGAGGAAGCCAGGAAGTGTAGAGATGATATTCTGGAAATGTATACCTCATTAAGTCCTATATATGTAACAGGTGGACACAGATTGTATATACTCAAACTATTTAAAGACAACAGAGAAGGGATTAAGAGAAATTGCCAAGATATTAACAAATACTGTGTTGCCACAAGCTATCAGTGTATCTGAGGAACTCTGGGTAGTGGCCGCACAGAAACCAATCGATCTGTCCAGGGCATATGGAGGGGAATCCACTGGGATGCTGAGAGTGAAACTGCCCTTGTCCCTAATTAAACTCACCCTGGGGTGTTCAGCATTTGGCATATCCATATCCCTACCACCATATTATCAGGCTGAAGAGAAATATGAAGACAAAAAATAATAGGAATAATTGAGAAAAGCTTAAATAATTGCACAGAATTATGGGAGCCAATAATGAATGAATTCCCTAGAGTTACACTAGAAAAAATGCCAGTTATTGAAAGGATTAACATAAATCAGTTAACAGACAGATTAAATATTTTAGGAAAGGAAGGTATAGATTGGGGAGGTAGTAAAAGGATCATGATAAACAGGTCAGCAGTGATAGAGAGAAATGGATTAAAGGTGTTTTGGTGAAAACCACTTGAAAAGGGGATACCGTTCAGTGATCCATACCCAAGCAGATCAAATAAAGATGAAGAAGAGACCAGATTAAACTTGACTGCAGAAATTAAAGAGGAGCTGATACCTGTTAAGGAAAACCCCAAACCTCCTATTGTGGAGAAAGAATGGTAACCAAGAACAACAATCCATAAAACAGATATACATGCATGCACACAATAATTATGAACATTACATATTGCATGTAAAAGTAAAAAAGGAAAGGACTTTATAATGTAAAAATGAAGAAGAAGAGGACATTTATAAACATTATGTATTGCATGTAAGGATGAAAAGAGGAGGGCATTTATAGATACTGCATGAAAATTAACTATTTTCTTCATTACTACTGCATGAACTAATATGTATGACCAATAGTGTATTAGTAGATTTGGGAATTTGAGATGTCATTTACGGGAAAATGAGAAGAAGGGTAAGGGAGAGATGTAACACTATTTGGGTTGCTGGTAATTAATAATAAAGAATTGGGATATTAATGAAAATGAGATATTGATTAATAAACTACTATGGAAAGGGTTAAATGAATATCAAGAATGATAGACTGATAACAATTGATTCCCAGAGAATTGAGGTTTATAAAATGATAGCAGGGGCAAGCTTGTTTCAGTTATAAACTGCAATACTGCACAATGTATCTTTACATGATAACCTCAAAGGTCAAATTCATTCATCATAGTCTACTAAATGTTACACTTTATTCAGTGTGAGGGTGTCTGGTGGTTTGATGTGTGTGTGTGTGTGTGTGTGTGTGTGTGTGTGTGTCATTTCACTGCTTTGGTGCTTCCCCACCCTTCTATTTCTAACATGGATATAGCATGCCACTGATTCAGTGACATCTTGAACAGAAGATGACTCCACCATGTATTTAGAAGGCCCAAAATCAAAAAAATTGCAACTCTGAACCAGCCACGTGTCACACAAAGCTGTTTGTTGGATTCCTGAAATTTATCAAAGTCTTAGAACAATGATTAAGACTAGAATAACATAAGATTTTAAAACAATTTATTTGACCTGTTAATTACCTAAATGCTTCAACTATGATCACCCTTGACAACAGTCTACAGAAGTCTGGATTTGAATAACTTGTTCAAAATTATAATGATGACAGGCCAACTGTCATATATATTTGGTTGTTTTGTGACAAAATTTTGACTTGCTTACCTGAACAAAACAATGTATGGTATGCTGGCAGACATTTGCAATGTGAAAAGAGCAAATGCAGAAGTAAAATTCTTTTCATATTATAGCTTGATGAATATGTATCAATTCAGTGGATATTTAAGAATTTGTTTGAAGTGGCAATCATTAGAATGACTACAGCTGTTAGGAAAAGACAGTGATTCTGTTTGTCAGCAAATGTGATCTATTGCAGACTATGTGATCAACAAGTGACAGTGTTTTACCAAGTCTGAAGTAGTTCCTTTTCTTTCTTATGTGGTGACGCCATTTTATAATCTCATAATCATTTGCATTAAAAGGTTTTGGCAAGGACTGAAAGTTCCTCAAGTTGATTCCAGAATTTAATGGCCTTGCATCTGCAATACAGTGAGTGGAAAAAGCATACCTGGGGTGCAACCTGTATGGAATAAAGCAGGTTGAACAAGTCTTCTCTTTTTCTACTGACTGGAGAAATATTTGCCATATCCAATGCAAACCATATTATGGATGCAGTGTTCATGGAATTTGCAATGAACCCTGATTTTATGGGGGTATGAATAGGGTATGACATTTACTTGATAGAGTGGAGAAAACTTGTAGTGCTATTTGAAAGAAAATTTGACTACAGACTGGCCTGTCCATTTGTGGCTGGGCTTCAAGGATATATGAACTGGCTTCTGCACATGTTCTCTATGGTCAGTGCACTACCAGTCGAGCAGCTGCTGGCCCAGACCCAGACAATTATGAAGGATATGTTGGCAATAGAAGAACTACTCATGGTAGCTGTACAACAAAGCTGAAACATTCATGAGACTTCCTTCAGCATAGGTCTGCATGCTATAAGTGCAATGATCCTGACCACTTTGTAAGAGACTGTCTCAATAGGGGAAAGTGTGCACATTGTTATCACTGCAACAACAGTTAGGTACAGGAAGAGAAGCAGGGACAAAATGTTGGCACATTTCTTCTACAGGTAAGAGGTGAATGAGGCACTAATGTTTTTGAAAGTTTGGGTTTGGGATAATAATCTGGTGATCTCTTTTTACAGCTAGTCTTCTCTCTTGCAACATTACTAGAACTGCCAATTGCCTGTGTGTGTGTGTATATATATATATATATATATATATATATAATTAGATCTTCCAGCTTGTCATCAATGATGTCCTGGTACGTTTTTACCATTAATATATGTTCTCTAAGAGTCCTTTGTTTCATAAGCCAGTGAGATATTTGAAAGAGTTGTGATAATCTACTTCCCACAAATGTATCTCCAAGTAACCAAAGCATAGTGCTCATTGGTCAGTGCTGACAGAGTTTTTTGGATAGCCCTTTCTCCAATATTATTTTGCCTAAGAAACCATACCCATCTTATTTTTAGAAAGCATTTTGGATTTCAACCAATGAAGTAATACTTATCACCATTTTCAGGCAAAGGGTTAGCAGCTGTGTGCAGGATCATAACTTAACACCAATGTTCAGTTTCAATTTCTTAAGAATCTCTCAACCAATCTAATTTCTTTAAACCTATTAACATTTTTTATTAGCTATTTTTACATATTTAATTCCAATCATGAAAAGATTTAACAATTTTATACCATAACAGCAAAAAGTATGTTCAAGAAAGAAAGAAATGAGAAGCTACAGAGAGATCAAGGAAAGGGAGGGAAAGAGCACAAGAAAAAGTGTAAGAGAGAAAAAAACATAGCAAATAAGGAGAGAAAAGAAAGAGGAAAGCTAACTTACCTTCAGGTTCATTTAAATAATTTAATGATGTCAAGTCGTTATCTTTGATGAGGTTAGGATCGCGTAAATGAGGTAAGTCACCTTTTGCTGTAATAGTGAGTTTTTCCTCCTGAAAATAAATAAATTCTCATTTTATAAACATTAATTCATTTTCTTCTCTTTATCTCAAATCATTTCTTTCCATCAGATTATTCAAAACTTTTACTCAAAATATCCAAACATATTTCCAAGTGTTCTATCCAATATTTACCATTTTTTGAGCAATAATTTTTCACACAGTTTGCTAATAAATCACAATCATTTTCAATTAACCACTCTCCTACAAGTTGAAAACCAACCTGAACTTCATAAAAAGCAAATCCCTTTCCATCATTCCAATTCTATGACTCAAATGTCAATGACAGATTTCTGCCACAGTTAATGCATTAAAATACAAGTTTAATTAATAGAAAGAATAACTATTAAGTAAAATCATGTAAGTTATTAAATTATAACTGGTTGGGAGCAGATGTTGAGCTTTTTGGGGTTTTTTTCTATATAGTTTAACTGGACCAAAGCAAACCCAGTAGAAAACAAACTACTTCTTAGCAAAATGGAATTAAGATATCAAGAAATGACTTAACAAAATTCCATTTTATGGTAACAGAGAAAAGAGTGAGTGTTCCTCAAAAAGTGTGTGTATAACAAATTCTCATATTGGTCTCTCAACCACCAGACATTCACATAGGCTAACATGCCACTTAAAACAAAACTAGTGCAATTCATATGTCAGCCAAAACATCATAGACCATAAACTGACTATTAACACAAAAACTGATAATACTAAAATACTCATAGCACTCAATATAAACAAAGACTCAAAATACTTGAAGTTATTCATACACAAAAGGAGCAAGACACACAAGTCTGCCAGATCTCTGGAATGAAGTGAAATTGACCATACTAGTTGAATTATGGGAGCATTACAAATAGCTTCTGCCAAAGAATAGGTCAATATACTAACTCTACTCTCCAGAAAACCCAGCTGAAAACTGCTGAAGAACTTGAATAAAGAGGTTCCTGCCAAATTCATCCCCACAGATCAGTTGAGATGAATTATCATCCCAATTGATCAATTCCTATTTATTGGAGGTAGTCTTCTTCATGCTTGAACCTCCCAATTTCAACATGTATGCATTTTGTGGATACCCCAATTTCCTGCATACATGCATTTAACATGTCCCATGACTGTGATGCAGTCAACATCTGCTTTAACAATTTTAACCTCTTAAACTTGTCAACATCTATTCAAAAGTTCAAATTATGGTAAGTTGTTTTCCAAATTATCTAGACCTAACAACTGTGATAGGAAAACACTTTTCTAACCATGACAATATTTTTGCATTACATTTCAAACCATTCAGCATAGTTTTATCATCTTCCAAAATGTGCCATGCTCTCAGGTCTGCAATTTTCTCTGGTATCATTATTACAAAAAGGTATTGAAAGCCCTCAGCCCAATTCACTTCCAAAAATCTGATGAAATGACCAAATAGAATTTGTGAAGATAATCCTTTTTGGTCAGGCAAAAAAAAACAAAAAAGGGATAAACAATGATATAGAATTTTAAAGCTGAAAATTATCATGTAATTTTTATGAA